CTTCTGGCGGGACTGGATGGAGGTTGCTGCGCTTTGCCCCGCTGCTGGGACTGACCCAGAAACAGGCTTGCAACAGTCACAGCCGTGGGGAGAAGAGGGAAGACGGGCGAAGCCATCGCCCTGGTAAGCGCTGATGAAGGGGGAGCTCGTCATGTGGCTGACCTCACGCTCGCAAGAAAGGTGTTTGTGACAAATGCACGTAGAAAAGCTGTTGTGAATTGCCGTGTTTGAGCACAGAAAACTTCCACACGGGGTTTGTTTATAAATTTAATTCAAGGTTCCCGTGAGCCAGAGCTTGTGACTGTTTGCCATCACCGCTCCCCAGCCAAGCACCACTTAACAACCCTGCGCGCGACAGCACCCGGCTACTTCACCGAACTGTGACCACTTGATACACTAACATGTTATTTACAAACACTAACCTTGTTCGTACCATCCTATTGTTACACGTACATCAAACTTCCAGACATCACTACTCTCAGGGTTTTCAGCAAATGATCTGTTGCTTTCTCAACCTAAGCATGTTATGGCTGCTTCCAGCTAGCCACCTCCATGGTTGTGCTCAGAAAGGAGTCCTCCGTGGCCGTCCTACCATGCCGCCCTGCAGCAACAGTTTTCAAGGAATCAGCCCCGCCGATACCCCGCTCGCTTGGAACAGAACTGGGTGTCAGACAGAGTCCCTGGGTGCCTGCTCCCAGTGGATGTAGAGTCACTGGAGACGGGTAAGGGCCGCATTCTCACCCGTTAGTCCTGGGGAAGAGTCACCTTCAATTATTTTTCAAAGGCAGAGTGTTCCACGTATAGAAATGACTGATTTCTTCACCTTAAAGAGCTGGCATGCACAGAAAAGACGCTTGCTTTAAAAAGGCAACGAGAAACTCGCGGACTAAGCAGTTATACACAGCAGCACGAAGTGGTGGGGGCAAAGGCAGATCACTGTTGCGTTCCGACAGCAGACGCAACAGTTTCCACTTGCCTCTCACTTGTCACGACATCGTTCAAACAAGTCTGTTAGTTTACACAAGTTAAGTAAGGTTTTGGCTCCCAAGTTTACAGGGCCCTCCTCTTGTATCGGATAATGGGGTGGTTAGGCGTGTGTATCATCGTTGTGTAATTTATGGTTGGAAAATAGTCATCGATGAGATCAAATTCATACAAACGGAGCAAAGTAGACCAAATAGTCTTAATCTGAACGTAAGCAAAGTTTTCTCCAATGCAGCGATGACGGCCTAGAAGGAAAGCCAGGAAAGGCAGTTAGAACACCTAGTTACTCATCACCTCTGACAACGAGCTAACCTCCAGCGGGTTAGGGACAGCACTTGCTTCTCCCCTTTGTAAGCAAGCGGAGGCCCTGACGCCGCACACGTGCCGTTACGTGACCCCCCCGCAATGTTGTTTTTGCGAGCCGTCGCCACACAAAGCGGCACGAGCCGTTGGGATGAGATGGTGTCGTTCCGTCCTCGCCAGGATGGGGTAATTCGTGCACCACCAAAGAAGTGTTTGCAGCGCTGAGGAGAGAGATCCACTCCAACCACGCTGTGGCGATACCGGCAAACTGTTCAGGCTGCCACGACTGACACTGGACCTGTATTAGCAGGTTCTTGCCTTGACTGACCAAGACCTGAGTCGGATATTGCACGCGCTAACCTGCAGCTCTGGCTCGGCTGCAGCTCCAGGTGCCACACAGCTAATGCACAACTGCCAGTCTGAGCCACTGCAGCACTCGGACACCCAGGAAAGCGCTGCCTTTTCTTACCTGCACCAAACGGAACGTACGCAAACTTCTCTCCGGCTGCCGGGTTGTCTTGGAGATACCGGTCAGGCTTGAAGTCCAGAGCCTCTTTCCAGGAGTCCCGGAGTCTGTGGTTAACCGTGGGAGACACACACACCTGATGGCCGGGGGGAATGTTATATCCAGCAACAGTCTACGAGTCAAGAGACAAGACCTCAGACATGGCAAGATTTCACCATTTTCCTTTATAAGTGTTACTTGCAGTGCTGTATCACGAGGTTCGAATTTCAGAAGAGATTTTGGCTAAGCTCATTTAGAATTAATGCAGCCTTATACCTGACTGTTACAATTGTCCAGGGCAAAATGCCCAGGGAGTTGCAGGAACCTTCCAGCTGCTGTCACAGAGCTGGCAATTCTACAGAAAGGTTTTAAAAAAAATGATCTTAAAATTTGTTGAAAACGTTTGTCCTGGGAGGGGCAGTGTTGTAAAAAATTATTTGACTCTCTATCTTGTACAAAGAGCGAGTTTTCTTTCAGATTTGTCTAGCTTGTGGTATTGGGTTTGCATGACAAGGTTTTGGTAGCGGGGGGCTAACAGGGGTGGCTTCTGTGAGAAGCTGCTGGAAGCTTCCCCTGTGTCCGACAGAGCCAGTGCCGGCCCCAGGCAAGACCCATCGCTGGCACACATCAGCAACAGTGGCAGCGCCCCCATTCCCTGTCCCCCTGTGCTGCTCAGGGGATGAGGTAGGGAATCAGGAGCAAAGCTGAGCCGGGGAAGAAGGGAGGGGTGGGGGGAAATTGTTTTCAGATTTTTTTTTTTTTTAATTTAGTTCTCTTGTACTTGTGATTTGACTGGTAGTAAATGAAATCAGTTTTCCCCCAGTTGAGCCTATTTTGCCTGTGACAGTAACTGGTGAGAGTGATCCCTCCCTGCCCTTATATTCATTTTATTTTCTCTCCCCTGCCCAGCTGAGGAGAACGGTGGCAGAGCAACTTTGGTGGGCACCTGCCCTCCAGGGCACTACACCTGCATTGTATTAAAGGCATGCCAAATTCTTCCTAGACAGCTATTAAAAACACCTGTCAAACAACACCACCAACAAAAAACCACCATTAAATGGTAGCACCAGACTAAGAACTCAAGAGGGACCAATAGCTAAAAGAAAAGGTTCATGTTGCTGAATAAGACGGCAAGTGGCTGTTACTAGGTCCCCTCAGAGCCTTCTCTTCTCCAGCCTCCAACAACCCTGCTCCCTCAGCCTCTCCTCACAGGACAAGCACTTCAACCCCACGCCATCTGGGTGGCCATCTGCTTGCTTCACCTCACCAATGTCTCGGTTGCTGGGAGCCAGAGGGATCCAAAACTGGACACAAATAATTCCAGATGAAGGTAACAGCTGTCACATTCAAGGTATTAACTGCTTTCCTCAGTCAACACCAGCTACAGGCCTGTGGATATCACCCAGGACGCCATCAGCTTTCATCCCTGCCAACCGCTCACTCCTGCTTTTCCTTCCACTACGTGGGACACCTGCCCCCCCACCGTTTCCAGCCCTGCCATGCTGATGTGCGGTTAGCTCCAAAGAGCGTGCTCACCTGGGGAGTTCTGGCCATTCTCATCATGGTCATGATGGGAGGTCTTAGCCTTAAAGTTTCTTTTAGGCAGCGATCCAGCAAACTGAGATCCTTGAGCTGAAAACAGAGAGAAAATGATACCTCAATGTGTAGCCACATTTATTCGACACAAACCAAATGGTACTTTACACAGTTTCTAAACCTATTTTTAAAAAATAACCAAAGAGTAAGCTCCTCAGATTTAGGTGTACAATGAAAACATCTCTGACCAGCGCAATTACGACAACTGTCTCACAAGTGCTTTCTGATTCAAGAACAAGGTCACACTGCACCCCTTCCCTCAGGGGGAATGTGAGCATATTCATCCTCTACAGAACTGTTATTGCTTAAACAAAAATTATAAGAACCATAATTTCCTTAATCAACACTGAGTAAAAAAAAATGGTAGCAAGCAAAAAAATTCACTTGGAGAGGAGGGCAAACGGTGTCATCACAGAATTACTGTTCTAACACAAAGCATCTGACTGTACTCCACCGTTGGTTTTTGGGTGGGTAGTTTTTAAAAAAGCATAAAAATTCCCAGCAGGAACAATGGAACATACGCACCTGGTCGTAAGTCAACGGTGGCAAGTCGTCCCCACAAACTGCTTTTTGTTCTGCATAGCACTGTTGCTGTATGGATTTGTCCCTGGCTATGAAGAAGCCGAGCCAGGCGCTGGTGGTGGAGGACGTGTGCTGCCCTGCTAGCAGCAGCCCGATCAGCATTCCCGCAATTTCATCGTCTGTCAGCGGACGGCCATCCCTAGGTTGGAGGGTGTGACATCAGAGCTGCATTTAATGGGGTATCCAGTCACCAGTCAATGTACCTGCCCTTTTGCTGCCTACTCGGGAGCGGCAAAAGCTCCAGGGGGAGGGAGGAGGGACGGAGACTTTCAAGGAGCCGTAAAGAAAGTCATTACTGAACAGCCAGCAAGGACGAAGGAAGCAACCGCGTGACCACTAATGGTAGTCTCAGAAATCTAAATAACCATTTACAGGTAGTTTTTAAGCTGTTGTTAAGAATACAGCTAAGAGCAACTGCTGGCAACAAAACCAGTTCAGAGCACAGGGAACATCATTGCTTGTTTTTTGGTAGCCAGGGCTCAAAGCTAAAGCAAAGCACCTAGACAATGACAGATCTTCAAGGCCTTTGCTTACTTGTATGAAGCATCAAGTAGAGTTTGGAGCATGTCATCTTCCTTATCCTCAGACTTCCGACGTTTCTGGATAACCTTGTAGAAGATATTCTTTATCGCTCTGTGTGCTCGATCCCGACGTCTGCAATTCAAAACACTTCTATCAGCAACTTCGCGTAAAGTGATGCGTAAAATGCTTACGAGGGTTTATTGGGACCTCTGGCATAGCTTACAAACAGGGAATGTGGGGGGGTGGGAATCCCAACCACAAAGAGGTTTAGATAAAGTACGTAAGTCACTTCATCTGGTACCTGAAGCTGGGCAGAGGTAGCCAGCCCGGCAGGAGCCAGGCAGCATGAGTGAAGCCCCCGTCCAAATCGGCGTACAGCTGAGCCACCTTCTCATTCAGTAAGCTCCGGATTTCCTTCCCATGTAAGCAGTGGCTTGCTGTCAGAATGATAAGTTCTGAAAGGGCTTCAAACAGGTCTGAGGAAAGATTTGAAAGAGTGATTGAAGATGAATTTCAGGCGAGATGTTTTGCAGGTTATTCTTCATTTTGCAGAAGAGAAAAATAAGCAATTGCACACAGATTAGTAATTTTAAACAGTTTGAGATTGTTTTACAAAGAGAGTGAAGCGTCGAACTTTAATCTTCTGTGTGTCTATCATGTCTCTCTCTTCAAACAATTTTTTAATTAGACTGCTGACTTCAACTTTTTTATAAGGTATTTCTTTCTAGAACTTTTTTTAAGAGAGTCAGCAACCCTTCCAAAGTAAGCTGTGCAGCACAAGATCAAGCCTTAGTAAATATAAAACAAGTCCTACAAAAACTTAACATTGAAACCCAAATCCATGGAAAACCAGTTAGTTTTGCTGCTCACTGAATTAATTTTATATAATAATATACATTTAAATATTTAATTGTATTATATTACCAGTTATACTAGATACAATGCACATTACATGCAAAAGAAGTAACAAATGCATTAAAAATATAAGTATTCTATAAAATATGTTTAAATAAATAACGTATCTGACACTTTTACACCCCTATGGGCATGGGCTATGTCTAGCAGGCGAGCTGGGAAAGAGAGGTGGGAAATATAAGAACTCCACCCAGATCACTAACGTAACCGTATCAGCTTTAAGGATACAGTTTTTCAGCATAGAAGATCCCTGAGCTACGACTGCCAGTACAGGCTCTGGGAAGTCTGAGCAGTATCTTCTCCAGGGACTAAGAACTGGTTACGCTGAGCTGACTCGGATCATGCAAAAGGACCACGATTCGGCCAGCCCCCAGGTGCGCTCTCCATGAGCTGAATAGCAAAGCAGAAGTAAGATAGTCCCTCCCTCCTTTCAGTCCTTTTCTGAGCCCCTTTATTCCCCAATAGCCTTAAATTTGATGAAACAAAGTCTGTATTTTGCACATTTCTTCTGCTGTTCAGTACAGTTTTAACTATGACATTTTTAATTCCTTTAATATTGCAGTAAATCATTTACAAAAATACACTGCAGTGTCCTTATTGCCAGAAAAGCAGAAGAAAAACGCATCTGGTCTTGCTTACTTTTTTCTCCACTCTCTCCCCACGCTTTGAAATACTCCTTTGTCTCCTCTTCAATCACAGAGACGTGCTGTTTAAATTGTGCAATATTTAGCCCAGTTTTGAGCATCTTCTTCTGTTCCAAAAATACCTAGAGGAAGCAAGACAGACAAAGCAATCAACGGTCATCATATTAATGTAATTAACAGCTCATTATCATTTGTACTGTAAGGACATACAGAAGTAAAAAGTGATTATGGTTAGGACTGCAGGGCACAACAGACACTCTAATTTAAATAACAGGCAATATTCCAGTTCTCACCTTCCTTGTTTTTCGAGTAAAAGTTTGGTAACATCCAAGTAAAACACTAGCTCAAGGGAGCCACACAATTCTGTTGTTTGCGGTACAAAAACAAAACATCATTTTGGTACCTTTGTTAAACTTTATCCCTGAAGATACAAGAAGCGTTCCAGATTGAAATACGGCACACACTTTAGATACGGAATCAGACCTGTCCCCCAAGACCTGAATTCAGTCTGTGTTCCTTGCTATGTGGCCTCTCAGCTTTCTCTCCCCCCAAGCATCCCTCCGTCTGTCCTCTCTCGTGCGGTGAGACCCTACCCCTGACCGAGACACGCACCTTTCTTTTACAAGGCCGTCTGACCTCACTGCCCCCAACTCAGACACAGAAGCAGGAAGCAAACTGCTTCCTAGGAAAACAGCGAGCTTCACGTTCTCCTCACCTCTTCCTCCTTCTCTTTGTATAGGCTCACAGCTCACAGACCTACTGGTAAAAAGCCCACTTCAAGACTGGAAGTATTCAGTGGACTTACAGGACATCCACTCAGAAAATTATTCAATGACTTTTAAATATGAATTAGGGCATCTGCCCTACAGATCTGCACTATACCATGAGCAACACTCCAAAAATTTGTCTTCCCACCAAGGGGTCTGCAGGTACTATGAAGTTATTCACAGAACAGAAGGCCTAGGAAGAAAGGTTACTTCCTAGAAACTCCTGTTTTCAGAAGGCCGTGGGGTCTCCAGCCGCCTATCAGCGGGTACGCCTGCCACACAGCGGCCAGACAAGCACATTTTTCCTTGCAACACGCTGGCCCATCTCCAGCTTGATGGAGACAGGAGTGACACGCAGGAGCCAGCACAGCCTCTGTCATTTCAGCTCCTCTCAACGCAGCTATCTGCAAGAGGCCAGGGGGAGGAGAGCGAATATGAGTCTATCGGAGGAGACAGAGTGAATAAGAGTTTGTTATAGTATAGACTATGCATATTAGCAATTACCAGAATTACTCGTAAATAAGTACCTTCTTCCTTTTAAAGAGTAAGGGATGGTTCTCCTAAACACCTGACTGGAAGTCTCTGTCAGGCTGAAGAGACAGAGACTTAGCAGCTTGAGCAGAGAAAAGGAGTCCTCAAAAGAAAGTTCTGGATGATCCATCAGTGGTAGAACGTCAGTGAAAGTTTGGACAGCACTCTGAATGCCCTCCCAGTAGCTGCTGCGTATGTTGCCTATCTGGACTTCTGTAAGGCCTCTGACATGGTCCCCCCCAGCGTCCTTCACTTTAAACTGGAGAGATATGGATTTGATGGATGGACTGTTCAGTGGATGAGGAATTGGTTGGATGGTCACATCCAGAGGGTAGTGGCCTAGTATCTTAATCAGCGACACAGACAGTAGGATCAAAAGCACCCCCAGCACGTTTGCAGATGACACCAAGATGAGGGGTGTGGCTGACATGCCTGAGGGAACAGGATGCCATCCAGAGGGATCTGGACAGGCTCAAGAAGTGGGCCCATGCGAACCTCATGAGGTTCACCAAGGCCAAGTGCAGGGTCCTGCAGGTACCCCCAGTATCAATACAAGCTGGAGGATGAAGGGATTGAGAGCAGCCCTGCAGAGAAGGACTTGGAGGTACTGGTGGAGAAAAAGCTGGACATGAGTCAAGAAAGCCAACTGTATACTGGGCTGCAGCAGCAGCATGGCCTGCAGGTCGAGGGAGGTGACTCTGACCCTCTGCTCTGCACTGGTGGGACCCCACCTGAAGTCCTGCATCCAGCTCTGGGGCCTTCAATACAGGAAAGACATGGACCTGTTGGAGTGAGTCCAGAGGAGTGCCACAAAGATGATCAGAGGGATAACCATCTCAGAACACCTCTCCTATGGGACAGGCTGAGAGGGTTGGGCTTGTTCAGCCTGGAGAAGAGAAGGCTCCGGGGAGACCTTATTGCAGCCTTCCAGTACCTGAAGGGGCTACGAGGAAGCTGGGGGGGACTTTTTACAAGGGCCTGTAGTGATAGGACAAGGGGTAACAGGTTTAAATTGAAAGCGGGGAGATTTAGGTTAGATATCAGGATGAAGTTCTTCATGGAGCGGGTGGTGAGGCACTGGAACAGGTTGCTCGGAGATGTTGTGGATGTCCCCTCCCTGGAAGTGTTCAAGGCCAGGTTGGATGAGGCTTTGAGCAACCTGACCTAGTTGAGATGGCATAGGGGGGGTTGGACTTGATGACCTTTAAAGGTCCCTTCCAACCCAAACTATTCTGTGATTCTGCCTCTGAAATGACGTGGTGGTGGTAGCACTACACAAAAAACCTCTCACAGACACACATTCTGGCCACAACCAGACACACTACCTCATTGGCTTCGTGCAGGGAAACACACAACGAGAGATAATCAGTGTGTGTCAACAGCAAAGTCCCTCCTAGCCCTGGACAAAGGTAGCCCAGATGATTTTCTGAGAAACCTGAATCTGCAGAGATGAAAAACAAGTTGTCGTTCTAGTATCAAAGGGACGAATGAAGTAGACTTATCCACAGACACCAAGACTTACTGAGTAATATGAAGTGATTAGTCTCTTGACTATAGCAGAAACTCACTCTGGAGAAAAAAAATAGGGTAATTCTAGGAAAAAATACCTTATTTTAGGAAAAAAATAAAAAAAGGCAGCATACGGTGGAGCAATGAGGTAGGCCTTAGTCATCCCTACATGCCTGAAGAACATAGTTGTAAGAAATACCCATTTCCAAGGAGCTTACAGACAGTTCTACAAAACTCCTGAAAGATGAGATTAGATCCCACCGGAGAACCAGCTCTTGAATGAAGACATTCAAATCCATCCAACACATCGTGAGTGTGAAAGCAGAAGTCAAACCAGCTGTAACAACAAGTGGATGAATATTCACAGGATTAAGAGACAAACCAGCACCTTTCTTTTCAAGCAGACATCCCATGACAGTCGGAATCCAAAGAACAGACACAACACAGTGGATGTCTGACCAACTGAGCAGTCTATTGAATCACTAGGTATTCCAGTATATACCGGACAAGAACATGAAAGATGGACTGCGGAGACTCAGGTACCCTCTCCACTCTAGCAACTCCAAAATAGATCCCCAACTCCAACCCTGACATTTTGAGGAAGACCTCCGACTGCCGAAGCTGGTAGAAACAAGGTGGTTAGAATGGCCTCGCTTGTGGAAGAGGCCTCCTAGGACACAAGAAATGCTCTCCTACTTGTTATCCAGGCAGCAGTCCTGCTGGTTTCATTCACAAAGGGATAGGAGGAGCGATGCAAATCCATCAAGTGCAAAAAAACCCACCACCCAAACAACCAAACCAGAAGAATGGGGTAAGACCAGCACACATAGTACGTGGATGCCTGCAAAATGCCAGCGTGAAGGAAAAGAGGTTAGTGATTACTGGTCCTCAGCCACATAATTAAGAGGGCAACAATCACAGCAGGAACCTTCAGCAGTGGATAATGAAGAGGCATGCTAAGGAGGAAGAGCCTTGGTGGCCACAGACACTATTACTGGCCAAATGACCGGCACCAATGCGAACAACATTAAGCCAAAACTGAAAATCCAGAAACAAAGTGTATGACAATGCTGTTTCTGCCAGCAGACTACTCTCTGTACGACAGGCTGCTGATGTCAACAGATGCTGAATATGAAGTCCCGGTGGAACAAGTCTGTCCACAGAAGAGTTGGCTTCTACAGTGTAAGAGTCTGTCATGACAGACAACATGCACGAACAAGAAAGCAGCCAATGCTCAGCTCAGAAACAATGGCACAGCCACTGTGCTCCCACGCAGACTGTATTCTGCAGACACATACAGACTGATTTTTGCCCGAGCAAGACACACCCAGTGTGGCAAAATGTCAAATCGTTACTCCTGTATCTAGATTTGGCACGGCGTAATTGAAAACTTGTCTCTCTTAAAGCTCTCCCAGAAGGAAAACCTAAATTTGCTTGTGAGGGAAAAGTAAACTGCAGTCAGTGGCATGCTGTAAGGGAAGGAAAAGAAGAATCACTTAGTTGCTTTTCCTCTGTGGTGGGATTAGATGGTTTCAAGAACAAAAAATAGCATCCAGACTGACAAATGGCCAGGTGGTAACTAAAGCAAATTAAACACGTTCAGTCCCGATTATCCAACTCAGACCACTTCCCAGCTGCATTAAGCCTTGCTATCAGAATTGCTTATGAACACACAACCCCAGCGTACAGAGCCAAGAGCTCGGGGCTGCCTACTCAGAACTTAAATTATGCTACTCTCCTACTCGTCTTACATTTAAAATACATACCATATTAGGGACATCGTAAGCAACTCCCTTGCCAAAAACAGGTGTAGTTAGCCGTGAGTATACATCCTCTGCGTTCAGATCTTCGTTTTTACTATTGAAGAGTAGAGCAGCAGCATCACTACCCAGTAAGTATGTGAATGTCTTCCCCACCATAGTGAAACTGAATACAGGTCCATACTGAGAGAGATAAAAAAAAGGACCACTTTACATTTAGTAAGAAGAACAGAAATCATTAAATCCCTATCTCTTTATATACAGGCTTCCAGAAATCACCTCCTCTTCTAAGTGTCCAGAGCCTTAATAAAGATATAAATATTTTAAACCACATGTAAATTCTCAATATACTTACTGGTGATATCTAATGTTATAAGGAACACACATGATCTTGCACATTTTAAAGCCATTTAGTTTTAAAAAATGTAAATAAAACATCAATCACACTACAAAAACTAGCAGGGAGATTACAGCACATACAGCCTCCAGTAATCCATGAACACTGTCTCAAAGAAGTCTGGGTTTGGAGTTATACATAGGCAATTAAGAGCAAATAAGACTCCAAAGTTTAAAGGTCACCTCCAGCTGATCTTCACGTCCTAAATTTGGCTTTCTCTAAGCTTAAATCTTAGCTTGGTTAGCTTATGTTTTAGATAATGTGAAGCAGATCGATAAATCTTATTTCATTGGATTTAAAGCTCTACTGACAACAGTCCCCAAAAAATGGACTGAGGAAGATAAAACCTACTAAGGTTTTATACACCAGCCCTTTTAACACTGGGGAGAGCCTTAAAATTCATCAATTTGCCTACAGAGGTGGTCGGCTACATTCCTGGTCACAGATTAAAACTTCCCAATTAAGGCAACAAAAAACATCATGAAAATGGCTTTTTAATTAACCTGTGATTCAGCTATGGCCATTACCCAAATCCACAAAGACATATTTTTTTAAATCTGAAACAAGAGAGATCTCAGGAAACACTGCTGCTCTAACAATGAAATACATAAACAGATATGAAGAAACCAGAGCCTACTCCGCATACTCCCTTCCCTATTCGGGGCAATAGACAGGAATGAACTGATTTTAAACGAGTTCCAGATACAGAACTTAATAGATATGCTAAAATATTTTAGCATATGCTCAGCCAGTCATGTGGGAAAACATACCTTGTCATAAGCATTTTCCAAAAATTCAATGGGGCTTTTTCCAAAGGCGATTGCATGTCCAAGGAAAGGGATGCTTGACGAAATATAAGGTGGGTATTTCTGAGGAAGAAAGAGGAAAAATTAATATTGAATTTTCTTCAGAGAACAGTAAAATCATGTCTATTTACATTAAAATTAAAAAATAGAGGAAGCCTTGCGCATGTTTTGTTTAAAAGGCCAACTTCGGACGACCGATTATTTTTTTTAAGTAGAGTAACAGCCACATTTAAAAGCAGCAGAGGTTAAAATTAAATGAACAGGATGAAGATTCTTGCTAACCCGCCTCTGGAAGCAAAGCACAAAGATACCGCAACTGGAAAGGAGGCCGTTAGCAACAAAACAGCGTTGGGCATTTGTCAAGCCCCCCAAAAGCATCCACCTCAGCTTGTCAGCGCGAGTCGGTGCTGAAACGGCACCGGGCACGGCCTCTGCCTCCACAGAACCCAAGCACCTCTGCTCCGTGCGGTACCGACCTGCCGTCGGAAGGCTGCTGGGCCCGTCTCCCCCCCGCGCCTGGATCTCAGCGCCCGTCTCCTCGCTGCCCAAGGGTGAGGGCACCGCCGCCCCCCCCCC